GTCTTCCTACCTGGAACCACAGGTGTGCACCCACAAAACTCGGCTTATTGGTTGAGATGAGGAGTTGGGGTGGGGAGGTGGTCTCGAACCCCAGTCCCCAGCTCTGCCACTGAGATCAGTCCCAGCAACTCGGCGCCCCCGCAATAGGCCCACAGGACTCTATTCTGCCCGCCCCATCTGTTCCTGGGCCGGCGCGGGCTGTGAATCCGAGACTTTATTCTCCAGGAGGGGTTGGCGGCCGGTCGGGGCGGGGCCTGCGGCGGTCGCGTGAGCGCCGGGGGGCGGGGCTTGTGGCGGCCACGTGTGCGCGGGAAGCAGGAAGTGGCGGCGCAGCGGAGCCGGCGGGGCCCATGGAAGCGGCCGGGGGCGGCCGGGGCGCCCTCGTGAGTCGGCTTTACCCTCCTTCCGCGTCTGCGGTGGGGCCGAAGGACCGGGGCCCGCAGTACAAGAGAATGCGCCCTGGAGCTGGAGGAGCGCCCCGGGGCCGGAGGGTCTGGGAAGCCCCCCCCCCCGGAGGCTCTGCGGGCAGCCGGGGCACGAGAGGACCCCACTCCCCCCGGGAGGGCCGCGGACGGCCAGGACGCGCGGGCCTCGGGCCTCGGGCCTCCTCCTTCGTCCCGCCTGGTGGGGTGGGGGCCCGGGAGCCGAGGCGGCTGCGGTCCAGCTGCATCGAGGCCCCTCCCACTCACTCCAGGACTTAACCTGGGAATCTGGTTAGACCTGCAGCGGGTCTGGGCGACCCCCCCCCCCCCCGGGATGGGGCATCTCTTAATCAGGTCCTGGGTCTGCAGCTCTGGTTTGAGTGGCGGGGTGCTGGAGAACTTGTCCAAGTCCTACCCGCCCACACCTCAGTCCTGCTGGCTTCCACTCGGGGGGCGGGGGGTCCAGGCTCAGGTGTGTGTGTGTGTGTGTGTGTATCACTGAGGCCCAGGCAGTGCCCCATCCCACCCTGCAACAACACCACCATTTCATCTTCCCAGGTGACGTTCACAAGGCGAGCAACAGGTTTAAAGGAAGGGAAAAGGAAAAACAAATGTCTCCTTAGCGAGTATCACCTCCTGGGGCTGCTGTAGCAGAATGTGCAGGTGGATGAAGTGGTGTTGCCTTCTATTTATTTTATTTTTGTGTTGATACTGGGGCTTGAATTTGGGGCCTTTCATTCTTGCTTGCCTTTTCCACTCATGGCTGGCAAATACCATTCGAGTCACATCTCCACTTCCAGCTTTTTTGCTGGCAAAAAAAATAGGAGATAAAGAGTTTCAATAGTTTGTCTTGCCTGGGCAGGCTTCAAACCTCAGATCCTCATCCTCACATTTCCGCCACACTGAGTAAGCACCAGTACGAGGTGATACTGGACTTTGAACTCACTAGCTTGCTTAGTGAATGCTCTACCACTCCAGTCACGCTGCCAGCCTGGCTCTTTGCTAGCTATTTTTGGAGATGAAGTCTCATGGACTTTTATGCCCCAGCTGGCTTCCAACCGTGATCCTCCTGAGTAGCTACTGTGACAGGCATGAGCTACTGTTGACATTGGCTTTTTTTTTTAAGGATTCTTTTTTGTGCTAATTCATAGTAGTTTATGATATTAATATCCAGCCCAGGAGGAAATATGTGCCCCGTTATGTGAGCAAGCTGCTTTGGCTGTGCAGTGGCTGGTTCACTTCCTGGTCTCCATGTTAGAAACACCTTTTGTTGTCTTGGGACTCTAATAATGGCCTTGCCAGCCCTATGCAGGGCAGGACTCACTTGCCAGCTCTTAGTCCGGTAGAAGTTGGTCCCCTGTAAGTGAGGTGCTTCCCATTTTCTTACAGAAGGGATCCCCCACAGGAATGGATTAAGAGTCTGATGAAGAAGTCCGGGGTTTCCCCTGAGATTCCATACTTCTAAGCAGCTCCCAAGGGGCACTTGTGCTGCTGGGTTCTTGGACCATCTTGAAACAACAGATGGAAGAGACTTCTCTGAGGGGCGCTGGCTTGCATCTCCTCTGTTAAATGCTGTTCCTCGTGGAGTGACAGGATGTGGCCTTGGACTTCCTTTGTGTCCCCTTCTCAGATGCTTAGTTATTAAAGGGGAGTAGGAGCACCTGAGGGCTTCCTCCTGTCCCTAGCCCACAGAATCCACTTTGACTTTGGCTTTGTTGGTTCTTTTCAGAAGTTATCAAAGGCACATTGGACTACAGAAAGAACCAAAGGTGTTTGTATTCTGACCAGTCTTAGGTGATGAGAACTCAGAGGGTGATAGCTCTGCGCCTGTCTTTGGAAATGTTGGAAATTTTATCTGCAAGCAGCTAGATGTAGGTGATGTGTGTAATGTTCCAGATATTTTATTTCTGGGGGCAGTAATGGGGTTTGAAGTCAGGTCATTGTGCTTGCTGGGCTGGTGTTCTACCACTGAGCCACACCTTCAGCTCTTTCTTCCTTGGTTATTATTTTTGTACCAGTACTGAGGCTTGAACTCAGGGCCTGAGTGCTGTCCCTGAGCTTTTTTTTGCTTAAGGCTGGTGCTCTACTACTTGAGCCACAGCTTTGCTGTTGGAGATAAGAGTCTTACAGACTTTTCTGCTTAGGCTGGCTTTGAACTGCCATCATCAGATCTCAGCTTCCTGACTAGCTAGGAGTATATGTGTGAGCCACTGGCACCTGGTGCCTTGATTATTTTTATGATGAGATCTTGCTTCCTGCCCAGGCATATCCCTGAGCCACTCTTTGCCTAATTTAGGCCTCTTGTTGTTGCTGGGTTCATAGGTTTGTGCCATTATATTAGCTTCTTAGGTTGAAATGAAAGCTTGTGACTTTTTCTGCCTGCAATCATGATTCTCCCAGTTTCAGCCTCCCACATATCTTGAGATGACACATACGAGCTACTACACTCAGCTGTGGGTTGAGAAAGAGTCTTGAGAACTTTACTGCCTAGGCTGGCCTCAAACCATGATCCTTCCATTCTCAGCTTCTCAATAGCTCGGATTACAGGCATAAGCCACCAGCTTAGTCAGATGTCTTAGTTTAAAAGCAAACACAGTACACTCCTTTAGGCTGACTTGTCAAGATGATGATGCAAAGAGTGGCTTCTAAAATATGATCTGTTTTCTTTAATTGGTATTGAGGCCATGTTGGGCTGTGTTTAGATTAGGGGACCACATTTTAAGTCCATAACATGCTCTTTTTCTCAGTTTTCCTAGCACTGGTGCTGAGCAGAGCCTCACCTGGGCCCACAGTCGTTCCTAGGTTTGAACCTGGCTAAGCTCCATGGCATAGGCCCTGTCCTCCTTCTCTGGTTTCATTCAGACTCAGGAGGGGTGGTGCCTTTGCTCTTGATTTGCAGGCCCAGGGCTTCTGTCTGTCTTGTGCCAGCCTTGGCAGAACTGGCCAGGTGGGGTCAGATCCAGCCAGCCCTGTGGGTACTGAAGGCCAGGGGTAGCTGAATGAGGCCTTTGAGTTGAAGTCTTGAGACCCCGTGTTTGTGTACCAGAGCACAGGGCTGTTCAACAAGTGGTTTTCTCTGCTCTGGAACTTTCCATAGGGAGAGGTGTAACTTGCTATGGCTTCAGAACTAGGATTTTCAGCATGTTAAACTCTGGTGGGGATTCTCTGGGCCTAGACAAGAAGGAAGGACACTCCTCTTTCTTGGTGGGCAGTGGCTTTAGGTCAGCTTCATCGCAGATGAGATGCTGCATTGGCCAAGGGTGCTGCCATTCGTGTCTGTTTTCTTGTCCTCACCTGTCCTGCCCAGGTAAGCTGGCTCCTTCTGAGTCAGCAAAGCCCGTTTGCCAGGAATGCTGACTGTGGAAAAGCATCACCTCTGTTTTTAAGCCACAGGATAGAAAAGATGAGGGAGCCCGGCCATACGAGCAGCAGAGGTGCGTGTGCAGATGGGAGGGGTTGAGGAAAGCCTCCCTACGCAAGTTGGCATCAGGTGGGCCATACAGGATGCTCTGGGTTCTGGTGCTGGAGCTATGGAAGGAAGGAATTCCAGGATGGAAGTACATGAGCAGAGACTCGGGGTAGGACTGGCTGCAGCTTGGTGAAGGTGTCACAGAATTAAGCTGCGGTATGGTACCTGGGTGGGGACAGTGGAGACTTAGGCTCCAAGAGCCCATGGAGAGATGGAAGCGGAACTTACCCTGCAGCCAGCCAGGGACTGCTGAGGGGTGATTGGAAAGTAGATGGAAGAGGTTTAAAGAGGAATTAGAGCCTGCCACTTGTGTCTGCAGGAGACAGGATAACTGACAGGACAGTTTGACAGGTCTTCTGGAGCCCTCTTTCTTCCTCCAGGCTACACAATCTACATTCGCCGAGCTTTTTTAAAATTTAATTTTTGTTTTAATTTTGGCTGCAGGTACTGGGGCGTAAGCTCAGGGCTTCTTACTTGGCTTTTGCATTCATGGCTGGCTCACTGCCATTTGAGCCACACCTTCAGTCCAGCTCTTTTGCTTGTTAATTGGAGATAAGAGTCTCACAGACTTTTTTGTGTAGGTTGTCTCTGACCAGCAATCCTCAGGAGAAGCTAGGACTAAAGATGTGAGCCGTTGGTGCCTGAGATTTCTTCTATTTAGGAATTACTTCTCAACGTAGCAACCTCTTATGAGGCTTCTATGTCCCTCTCCCCCCTCCCCCTGCCCCCCTCCTATCAGGATTGGGGCTTGAACTCAGGGCCTCTTGCTCTTGCTTGAGCCATACATCTACTTCTGTTTTTTTGCTGGTTACTTGGAGATAAGAGTCTGACACATTTTTCTGCCTGGACTGGTTTTGAACCTCAATCCTCAGATCTTAACCTCCTGAGTAGCTGGAATTACAGGTATGAGCCACCAGTGCCTGGCCTTCTGTGGCCTCTCCTTTCAGAGTTAGATGACTTCTAGTGCCTGGGAACCTGAGGAGTTAGATATTGGTCAAGGGATCCCAGCCTAGTGTGACAGGCATGCATACTGCCACCCCAGATGGAGGCCAACCCAGGCAGGGGGGCTAGGACATGTGATGGCTGACCTCTGGCTCTTCTGCCCACAGCTGTGTCAAGCATGCTTCAAGGCTACAGCTCAGTATTCCAGGCCTTACTGGGGACCTTCTTCACCTGGGCTCTGACAGCAGCTGGAGCTGCTCTTGTCTTCATATTCTCTTCTGGACAGGTGAGGAACTTTTGGCTTGACTTGGGTTGTAGAAGTTCTTGGGGACCCTGGCACAGGCTGTGAAACCAGCCCTCTCTGTGCAGTATCCCTGGCTGCACTTGCAGGTGATGGTGGTCAGGTTTGTCCTTGTGGTACCTGGTTGCTAACATGGGCTTTGAACAGCCTTCATCCCTCCCCTGCCTCTCTTCTCACAGCCGATGGCAGTGAGAAACCAGTAAGTCAGCCTCCTCTCACCCATTGCTTTGGTCCTTGCTTACCTGTAATTTCTTCAGGCCTGAAGTAGGCTGTGTTACTGACCAGTCCATGGGGGTGGGGAAGGATCTGCTTCCTTTCTCGTCTGCGCAGCTTTTTGTGGCTTTTCATCCCTTGGGTGAGTACAGAATAGCCCACCTCCCTTTCCCCCTGAAGACCGTTAACCTATCCACCCCTATCCCACTCATCTTTCCTGTATCCCCTTCATACTCTCAGTACTCTCAGGCCCTGTGTGCACCTCTATCCCTCACATCTCTCTCTCCCTCTACACCCCACATCTTTAAATCCCTACTACCCAACTCGACATTCACCCATAGCCCCCTCTACCCCATACACCCTGTACAACCCACATTCACCTATGCCTGAGATTCTGCTCTCCCCACCCCTAGCTCCCTCTGTCCCCAGTCCCTGCATTGTTCAACTCGCACCTGTAGAACTTTTAGGGGCAAGCTGGGCACTGGTGGCTCAGGCCTGTAATCCTAGCTACTCAGGAGGCTGAGATCTGAGGATTGAGGTTCAAAGCCAGCCCATGCAGGAAAGTCCATGAGACTCTTTATCTCCAGTTAACCACCAGAAAACTGGAAGTGACGCTGTGGCTCAAGTGGTGGAGTGCTTGCCTTGAGGTGAAGAGCTGAGGGTCAGACAGTGCCCAGGCCCAGAGTTCAAGCCCCAAAACTGCAAGAAAGAGAGAGAGAGAGAGAGAGAGAGAGAGAGAGAGAGAGAGAGAGAGAGAGAGAGAGAGAGAGGGAGGGAGGGAGGGAGGGAGGAGGGAGGGAAAGAAAGAAAAAAAGAAAAAAGAACTCTTAGGGATTGCATGTGAGTAACTGACTTCAGTCTATTTTGACCCACTGAGTGATGGATCTGAGAAGGAAAACAGGAAGTTGGCAAGGCAGGCATCTGCATTAAAGACCAATCATGTAGACGCCAGTCTCAATGATGAGATCCTGTCTCCACACACTGCCTGCCTCCTCATCTCTTGGAGGTGGTTGGAACCAACCCATCAGTTCAAACTACACAGCCTGGCAACTTGGAGGGCCAGGATGCCCAGAGATGTCATCGTTCACAGAAATAGACAGGAGAATGAAGGTTGTTGGGGCAGGAAGAGGATGAGAGGATGATACATTGTTGTTGACTGGGTATAGAGTTGTGCACATGGCTGGCCCATTTCACTACTGTAATGTCCTTTGGGCTCACTCGAGATGTCCTTTGTGCCAGAATTTACTTCATTTTTAATGCTGAGAATATTCCATTGTATGTACATTCCACATTTTATTTCTCTGTTCTTGTACAGATTGACACTAAAAACAATTTGTGTGTGTGTGTGTGTGTGTGTATTGGTGCTAGGACTAGAACTTAGGGCCTGGAGACTGAATGTTTTCCACTTAAGGCTGGCACTCTGTTACTTGAGCCACAGCTCCACTTCCAGCTTTTTTGGTGGCTAATTGGAAATGAGTTTCATAGACTTTCCTGCCTGGACTGGGTTTGAACCATGATCCTCAAATCTCAGTTTCATGAGTATCTGGGATTACAAGTATAAACTACCAAAGCTCCTCCCTTCCCTCCCCTCCCCTCAGGGACTGTTGATGGTCTTGAGTTTTTTGTTCAAGCCTGGCACTCTGTCACTTGAGCTACACCTCCACTTCTGGCTTTTTGGTGGTTAATTGGAAGTAAGAATGCCATGGGCTGGTTTTGAACCATGATACTCTTATCAGCTCAGGTGTGAGCCAGTGGTTGTCCTGGGCTTTCTGGTTTTCTTTTGACCCAGGATACCTCCTCTTGTCCCTAGAAAATTGAAACATCTTTTCCTTTTCAGAGGCGGATCCTAGATGGAAGTCTCGGCTTTGCTGCAGGGGTAAGTTGCATGTAGCAGGGGAAATGTTGATAGAGACATGTCTATTGTGGCCTTTCCGTGCCATGGGCTATTACCAGTTTGTTCCCTCATGATCGAGATGTGTCTAGTTCTTTCTCTAAGTGCTAATGCTCTGCCTTCCTGTCCCCAGTCATATTTATTTTCCAGTTGATTGATGCTCCTGCCTCTCTGATAGTGAAAGAGTGCCGCTTGGCAGCTGCCTAAAGACTTGGGAAATTAGGTAATATTTAGGAACGGCTTAGCATGGACCCAGCATGATACATAGTTAGGACTAATTAAATGTCCACTTTCTAGCCGGGCGCTGGTGGCTCACGCCTGTAATCCTAGCTACTCAGGAGGCTGAGATCTGAGGATCGCGGTTCAAAGCCAGCCTGGGCAGGAGAGACCGTGAGACTCCTATCTCCAATAAACCACCAGAAAAACCGGAAGTGGCGCTGTAGCTCAAGTGGTAGAGCGCTCGCCTTGAGCT